CATTGAAATCATATCCATAGTTCTTAACTGGAATTTCATTTTCACTAAAATGGTGATGATATTTCAATTGAATTTATTTGATAAAAACATCATCTAGAAAGTATTTAGAGTAACAGATCGATTTCGATTAAAACTTAATAATCATTTTCATCGTCTACAACTTTTTTCAAGAATCCTCCATTCGAAACAATAGACATTATAACGTTTTTATCAATGTTTCTGATCATAAATCATAACATCTTTTTTAAATTAAAGCTTCTTTAAAAGATGAAGTCTTTCGATAATATTGAGATGAAGAGAAAATTCGTTCTTTAATTTGAAGATTCGAATGTTAATTATCATTCAACAGAAGTACTTAGATTTTTTTTCATTCAAAGTATTAAAACAACGAGATTAACATTGAGGAATTGTTCGATATGACCATTGAGTAAATCTGTTCTTTATTTCTCTTTCTTGATTAAAGTTCTTTACTTAGAATATCATTTTTCATTCATGTACATTGATACATTGTCAATGAACAAAATTGTGTTTTGTTTCAGAATCATTCCTACACAATACAAATCTGAATGCCAATGTATAATGATACAAAACGGTGTCACTGTCGCTGGAGGAAATGAATATGGTAGTGGGGAATGAATTAACTTCGCAATTCACATGGTTTATGTATTGATGATGATCATATTGTCTACATTGCTGACTATTCGAATCATCGTATTGTGGAATGAAAATGTGGTACGACGACTGGTCGCGTTGTGGCCGGTGGAAATGGACAAGAAAATCGTCTCAATCAGTTCTGTATTGTAATCAACATCAATATTGTCAACTGTCACAGAATGTGAGTGTGGGCGTTGATTTGAGTGTGCACTCCCTCACATTTTTACCCACACTCGCACCCTCAAGACCTATTGAATTCACATTCTTATTGGGATATAATATTTTTTCTGTAAATTAGATGAAATGGTCAATTAAAAAATGATCAGTATAACTACTAAATGGTCAGTACTTAAATTATCAGTAATAAGTTGTCAAATGGAGTACGGATATACATGTTGGTCTTATTTTTCACCCACACACGTCATCAACGTCCATATCTATATCCACTTTCATACCCCGAAATAAATACAATACGATTTCGGCATTCTAGAACTCAAGACAACATTCGTGGTGAACGAAGTGCATAGAAGATTGGAAGAATGGACAGATATTTCAGTGTGTGAAATTTTAAGCCGAAATATCATTCTCAAGGGTGATTTAGAAGTTTCAACCTATGTCTGTAAATTAACATTATCTATATGAATACATATATAGATAGTTGACTAAAATTCACAGTTTTGTAAAGAAAGATTAAAGCTATAATTTGAAAGGAAAATAGTTTGAACTGAATCGTGATCAAGAAAATTTATGGTTGATTTATTAATCATGACTAGATAGGGTGGATGTAAGTGTTGGAGTTCTCTTGATTCACACACCCAAAACTGTCTTTTATACTTTGTATTCACGGCACCTTACCATATAAATTGTGTCTTTTCCATAGTCTGTTAGGTTTGTCTTGAAAAACCTTGTTTTGCTTCAAATAATATGGTTTCGTATTCTAATTGTAGTTTAAAAACTGATGAAACTTTCTTATCTCTCTGAAAGCATGCTTACAGCAGTAAAAAGCACACTGATCAATTTATATTTTCCTCGATAACAAAGTTTACTAACGATTCAAGATACACAAATCAACATGAATTAGATAAACCCTTAGTCGTTGTTGAATCATTCGTGATAAATCATCTTCTTAGTCATACCACCATCGACGACAAAGTTCTGCGAATAGGAAAAAAAAAGGAAAAGAATTTTGGCATATGAAACCAACTGCAAACAACAACTTTGTAAATTACCTGCCCTGTAATGAATCCGTTAACATCATCTACTAAAAATTCTACGATTTTTGTAATATCTTCGGGTACACCAACACGACCAGCAGAATGTTGTGAATGATCTGATTCCGTTAGAGGAGGAATAAGAGTTGATTCACCATGTTGAGCCAATTGCTTCGTATTCATATGACGGACATCGATCCATCCGGGTGAGACCGCATTGACTCTAACACCAGAACCTGAGAAACTAACAGCCATTGCCTGTGTAAGTCCAATGAGTCCAGCTTTGCTTGCAGAATAGCCTTCATTGTTGGCCTCGGATTGGAGAGCACGGGTGGATGAGATATTGATTATGCAACCTTTTGAAGCACGAAGATGTGGAGCAGCGTAACGAGAACAAATGTAGGGACCAATAAGATTTGTCTCTATGAAGCTACGAAAATTTGAAATTGGCACGTCGTCAAACGATGTATCAGGATTGTCTCTGCCGCCGATCCATGGACTTGCAAGAGCAGCATTATTAATGAGGGCGTCTATACCGGAAAATTTCTCAACAGTAGCAGCGATACATGAAGATACGGATACTTCATCGTTGACATTACAATTATAAAATAAAGCGTGACTTTGAGCTGAGCGACCAGAATCAGGTGGAAATACGGAAGAATCATTTGTAAGTAGTTGCTCGAGTACTTTTAGAGACGTCGTATCGTTATCTGCTAATGTTACATAGAAGCCTCTAGAGAGAAACTTTGTTGCCATATGTCGGCCAAGTCCATTTGCTCCCCCTGTGACAAGAATTCGCTTCATTTTCATCAAATACTATAATCTAAATGAAAAGTGTTGCAAAAGAAGCTGATCAATGTCCATGTGAGATGGAAGGAAAAATAAACTACAATAGAGTCTTTGACAAGCAGTTTTAACTCATACTTTTTTGATTATGGTAAGCTAGATTTACGAATTACATACCGAACTTCTAAAGAAAAGTTCACAAGACAAATCAATAGCTAGGTCAGTGATTTCTCAAGCAATCATCACCTTTCATTTTAAAATTCGCTATCCCCCGGAATAAAAAAATCCAGAGTTTTATATTTTTACTGTCATTGCTTGACATTGAAAGTAAGTCTATGCGAAAGTTTCGAAGTTATATAGGTTTTGATGAACGGAATTATAGAGTTTTCTATTTGTCAGACTTTTCGTTAGGGAAATTAAAGAAATGATCATAACTTCCGAACGAAAAGCTAAGAGCATAAATTCACTGAGGTTTATTACTCTCCTGATATATCACAGAAAGTTAAAAATAGAAAAAATGATTACGTTTTAATCAAAGTAATGATAATTTTACTTATAAAATAAACACTTTAATCGATTATTTCGAAAAATAATTTATAGAATTCATATAATGCAAAACATGTATTTTTTTTTAATCAAAATTATTTCATGAAAATGATTGAAAACTAATCGAGATAATGGATTTCATTTGATTTTTTGCAGGTCATCAAAATAACGAAATCCTTGTTTGAATGAACTGACCAAAAAAATAATAATCTAAATAAAATTAGTTCGATTATTTGACTTCCTGGATATGCTATCGATGTCTATATGAATGAAAGAAAACGGAGTTAGATACTTCGATATGTTTCCTCACCAATAAGAAAACATTTTTTGTACTACAAAACAAACTGTGATTTGTGTTTTATGCTTACTTGCCCAGCAAGAAAATTTCATGCATAATGCTACAAACAAAGCTACCGAATTCTTGAGTTTGTCTTAATGAATTTCTACTAAATACTACAGCGATCAATTCGCAATTACAGGATTGATCACGAGAGAAAGGTGATCGATTCTCATAATGGATAGCTGATAGTGATCGCAAAAACATCGCGTCTTTGTTGCAAAAATTTTTAGAGATTGCGTATCGCTTTGAGAATAATAACTTAACATACAACCTGTCTGAAACTTTTGCATCTTCATCATAATGTAACGATTATTTCAGCCGACAGTGTCAATAGAACAAGATTCTTATTGATAAAAACCTTTCGGTATTTGAATTCGTTTTTTTTTCAATGAATATTTAAAATATGATGTTTGGAAATGAACATTGATGTAATATGAGTAAATACGATGAATCATAAAGGAAACGAGAATGGATGAAAACAACAACGAAAGAAAGTTTGTTCTCTATAGATGTCGACAGTTTTTCGATGTTTAAAGATTTTTGATCGGAGAGTATGCATAGAAAAGAGTTCAATATACAAAGAAAAAAAAGAGCACATTATTGCAAATGATGAAAAATATCTAAGATTAGAAAATAAACGCAATAAGTTTTCAGACCATCACTACTCTCATCATTAACTGAGGAGCCAACTCATTTTGGGGATTAACTTAGCTTTATTAATATCTGTTTGATTCACACAATGGAATTACACGTCGATCAACACTCGGATATGCTCCAGTGTAGTTTTCAGCAAAGTCCCTACTATTCTCATTCTTATCGCAGTTCTGAACAGGTTACTTCAGAAGCAGAAAATATATGTCTCATCTTGAGACATTTTAGTCAACAACATTTGAAGAATAGCGGAATAAAATTCGAATATGTCGCTCTAACCATAACCTAAGAGTTATTTTAACCTATTATGACCTACTTCTTTTCATCAAAGGAAGTATAATAGAAGGTTGAGTGCAACATACTTTTTTCCCTACTTGTTGAGGTCCATATTTCGTATAAAACTAGGGTGTGGATGTGGGTTTTAGTGTTCTCTTCCTCTACACAGCAAGCCAGCCCTTGCCCATACACCCACGCCCATACTCACACCGTCATCCCACGCCTACAGCCACACCCACCACCACAATTGGGGTGTGGGTGGGGGTGGGGGTGGGTGTGGATGGGTGCGGGCGCGGGTGCGTTTATGGAAATAAAGAGAATACTCACATCCACACCCACATCCTCAAGATAGTGAGTTGCATATTATTTGCATTTGTGATAACGAGTATTTTAATCAGTACAGTTTCTGCCTCTCGCAAAACTATTACTTTCAATCCTAGGATGTGAATGTAGGTGTGGGTATGGGTGTGGAATGAAGTGCTGCCAAGGGGGAACAAGCGGACTTCTGTACTTCTTCGTACTTTTCGTAC